GTCCCCGTTTCAGCAGGTGGGCAGGTCAAGCTGTGGGCTGCTGTGGGCTGGGGCTGAGGCAGCACCAGGCTGTTCCTGGTGGGGGTGTTGGGCTGGGCTGTGCTGAGAGAGGGTTGGGGCCTCTATGGCAAATTTTGGGATGGCTGCAGCCCCTCCCCCTGGTATTCCCCCTCCCAGTGCCACTGCCACCCATCCTGAGTGCAGCCCAGCCCCTGCCAGGAAGAACCCTGTGCAGCTGCAGCCCACCCTGCCCACGTCCCATGCAGATCCAGGGGCACACGCCCCGCACCCCAGTCAGTGAGATTAGCCATCAGGGGACCCTCCCCGGTCACTAACTGGTGCCCCCTGACTCGGGAGGCTCCAGTTGCCCATGCTTGCAACAGAACCATGACCCTGTTTTTGAAGAGCAGCACAGCCCCTTTAAAGGGCAGTCTTTGTAGCACATACAGCCAGCAGAGCAGGGATTAAGGGACAGCCCTGTAGCCATGTTAGCTGACAGGGGTGTCACATGACTGGAAGAGGGCTCAGGCCCAGGCTATACAAGCCCTGGGCTCGAGCCAGTCTAGGAGGCCATCCCTGAGAGCTGCAGAGTACAGAGATCCTGACAGCAGCACAGCAGGGCCCCTGACTTTACAGTAGGGATGGAAGGAAGCAGCTATGCAGGCCTGGGAGCAAGGAGGAGCTATCTGAGAGCAGAGAGGGAGAGACTTGTTATGCAGACAAGTGGCCTTTATTTTATCATAAGCCCAGCAAGGGTTTGGGTGCCTAGCAGAAGTGCTTTGATTTAAGGTACACCAGTGGCTTGGGTTTGGGACTAAAGGGATGATTTGGAGGCCCCGTTGGTGTCCTAGGGGCGTGCGACTGACTTGAGCCCTGCTGGCGGTAGGCTCAAGGCAGAAGAGGTGCTGTGCCCAGAGCAAGATAAAGGGTGGATGGAGCTGCAGAGCCCAGAGCAGGGCAAAGCATGGAGCTGCAGAGCCCAGAACCTGAAGCAGAGCAGAGACAAGGCCCATGAATCTGGCACCCAAGAGGCCAAAACCAGGGCTGGGGCCCAAAGGTTGAGAACAGTGGGTATTGGCTATGGGACCACCCAGAGTAGTGGGGCAGAAACCAGGAAGGCTAAAACCCTGGCAAGGTAGGGACAAGTATCCCACCTGAATGAGGACTCAAAACACCTGCAAGGCATGAGCCATGGTGTAGGGGTAGAATGAAGCCACACAATTAGCCTACAAGGCACTGACTCCCAACACCCGGGGATCATTAGTGTAAGTACAGCCTCCTGTACTTTGTTAACAATTTACTTCAAGCCATGGCAGGAAAAAAAGGGTGGACTGCCCCGAGAGCACAGTGCAAGAAATTTGCTCAGGCCCCAGGGGCTTCACAGCCACCCAAGATGCTGCCCTGTTACAATGCTATAACAAGCACAGTCTGACCTCCAGGTAGTGTGACTGCAGAGGCAAATAGATGGGATCTTAACTACTCTCTCTATGGTGCCTATCACCATCATCAGCTGATTAAATTGGTCAATACCTGAAGCATTTGAGACCATACAGAGAGAGCTGGGTTTTTTGAGGAGTTCTTTTAATATTTTTAAAAAAAATGCACAACTTCTCTTCACCCCACAGCTCCACTCAGAAGCTAGATCTCAGGATACAAGGCAGACAGGCATAAAATGGCAGAACACCACAACAGCAAAACATCACAGGTCAGACCTGTCAGGTGGGGCTTTCCCACTGACACCTAAGCCATTCAACAGGAGATGGGTCAGATTTCTGAAAAACATGCACCAAACATGCAATACACAGGAGAGGAATGTTAAGAGGTGACAGTGCTAGGAGCTGAGGAAGAGGCAATCCCTGGCCGCAGCATAGTTCGATGACACTGTACCCTCCAATGCACTTTGATGGGAAGATGAAAAAATCAGTCTTCCCTTCTCTTGCCCCAGCTCCAGGTTTTCTGTTAGGTCACTACTTAGTCTCCAGCACAGCCCAGTGAATCCACGCTGCTGACAGATGTTGGTGGCTCCCTAACACTTTTCTCCAGTGCAGGGCAGCTTTTTTCATTCAGGGCAGGGTAAGAAGCAACTGACCTTCCTACCGCTCCCTCCCTGCTCAGTGGGATTTTTCAAGTCGCATTCAATACAGAGGCAAACACCATAGCTCTCTTGCTGCCTTCTTGCCCAGCTCTAATGAATGGTTTCTTAATTTTGGTCACATCTGGCTGCTCACACAGGGGAGGGCCAGCCTAGCTGTGACAGTGCCCCCTTGCCCTGGGTCAGGCTAAGCTCTGGCCTCAGAGTAAGCCCAGCAAAAGAGAGGCAGCTCAAAGTGAGCAGCCTCCCTGGGGAGCTTCCTGTTAAGTTTTATTCTTTGTTTCATCTCTGCACCAGGAGCCTAGAGGGGCTTGTTAAACAGTTTTCTCTTTGTATTTGACATGGAAGCGCCACCCATTACCTCAATTAAGCTGTACTTCCATTTGGCAGGTTGGCTTCAAGTGCCTCCCCCGCTCCCTTCCTTCAAACCGGGTCTTCAGGAAGGTGGAGATGTATTGCTGTCATTTCACATCAGGTGTTAGCCAAGAAGAAAAGAAGTCAGCAGCTTTCATCAGTAGGGACTGAACTGGGAGGAGCTGGGGCATAAGTCTTATACACAAGGCCCAGAAAATTTCTGTGGCACTGCATGGTACCTACAGCCGTGGACAGTTTTCAGTTGTGCTAAGGTTACAGGAAGGATCCAAGCTGCAGCTACCTCCAGAAGCAGCATGCATGTTCCAGGGCACAAGGGCTGCCTGTATTAATGCCAGAGGACCCCAGCCTTCCCTTAGGAGTAAGAGGAGAGTTGTAGCTTTCTCTCTGGGAGCTGTATATGCATTAAGAATACACTCTGCATAGCACATTCCCAAGCACTACTAGGTGCTGTCTATCTGCACATGCCCTCACAGGAAACAGGTTTGTTTCCATGCCCTCATCCACACTGGTGACAGGACAGCTGGAGAGAAGGAAAAGCACCTCCGATTCTAGACCAGCAGGTCAGGGTTGTGCTGTCAGTCTCTCTGCAGAAGATGCAGACCCCTTGCAGGGGAGGGAAATCTTACCTTTAGAGGCCATGAGCAACAAAACCTACCCATCTGCAGCTCTACAAAACAAAGGTCATAATTGCTGCCAACCTAGAAGGCATCTGCCTACTAAGATCCAATACAGCTGGCTTATCACCACCTTCCACCAGCAATGCATATAAACAAATGAAGGGGATAAATTACAGAACAGTACAAGGAAACTGTCAGAGGAACAAGATGCTTTGCAGTATGTTTGTCAAGGGATCAGGGAAGTTTCACTGCTTGCTTTCAAAACCAGGCAGAACTGGAAAAGTAGGGAAGGAAACAATCCACACCAAGTGCTCTGGTGGTACTGACAAGCAGTAAATCTAGCGTCAGGGACAGCTGCTTGACTTGAACTGCTGCATCTGTCAGAAAGAACTGGGCACTTTGCACAGGGGTGGAAAGGCTGGGGCTCAGAGATGCAGCTGGCCTGGAAGCAGCCAGATTTCTGCATCAAGGACCTGCATGCATCCTCCACCACAGCCTTGACAGAAAGCTGAAATACTTGAAGCCACACTGGTAGATACACAGAATACCAATGCATGCAGCTTCCTGCTTAGCAGGACGTTGGAGAGCGAGGCAGCCTGTGCCAGTGGGATGCTACCTCCACATTTATTTATAGCTTCACTCAGAGGATTAAACCCAGCTGGCTTTACCAAAGAAACCAAGCTGCCTAACCATAAGAACAGATACGCTAGTCTCCCCGAGAGCCTCCAGCAGCCCGCCAACAATTTGTGAGAGGTTAGAGCACCAAAGCTTTGTTACAAGCTGCTGAGGAATGCATCTAATGGAACAACACACCCTTGGGGAATCGTGTCAGAGCAGCTCAGAGATTGCGGCTCACCTTGTGTATGAGTCTGCATGTCTCGGGCCAACTCCATGGGGAGGACAGAGTTAACGAGCGTGGAGATAATAGCAGCATCCAAGTTGCACATGGCTCCAAAGCACTTCAGCAGCAGCAGGCGGAGTGGCACTCGGTGTTCCTGGAAAGGAGAGCATCCTTCAGAGAATCATAGAGAAGCAGGGCTGTTAAAGAACCTCCAGAGGTCACCTAGTCCAGCCTCCTGCCTGAGGCAGGATCACCCTATCCAAACCATCCTACACAAATCCATAAACTAACCTCTTTGTAAAACCACCATCAACCCAGACACAAGACATAAACACACTAACCTGCCACGGGTAAGGCAGGGGAACCACAGCAGCCAATATCCTGTTTCTGTAAAAGGTTGTTAATATATGCTCAAGAGATCCCAAGTAGAGGGTCATGCTCCTCTGCTACAGAGAAAGGCAAAAACGCCCTCAGTCCATACCAATCTGACCATGGGGTAAAATTCCTTCCTGACCCCAAATACCACAATCGGTCTGACCCTGAGCAGAGGGGCAAGACCCTCTAGCCAGGAATCACTGCTTTGAGTGCCAGCAGGAACACTGGCACACCCCAATCAAAATCCCCAGTTTTGGCTCCAGCCCACACCCAGTGTCTCTGAGGAACGCTTAAAAATACCCTGACATGCAGGAGAAACAATGCCAGGTTTGGGCATTCAGTTCTACACAGAAGCCCAGGTAAGCATGCAAACACCTGCATTTACATCAATGTCTGCATTTAGTTCTAACGTGGGAGTAGCCCCAAGTTTCAGCACATCATCAGGAACAGCATAGGGTTGTCTAATAAGATTAGACTGTGCCCCCATCCCAGCTTTTAGTCTGAACTCTTTAAGACCTACCCTCATGGCTAGATTGATCTCAGACAATCCCAAAGACTGCACATGCAGCAAAGGCTCAGATTCTAAATGCAACTCAACTCTGCTGTTGTGATGAGATAGGTGATGCCCCCCATCAAAAGCTGGTCTGATTTAATGAACAAGCAGACAGACTACATGAGCCCTGGTATGAGAGGGCAAACAAATCCCCTGGGAGCACGAGGCTTGCAAAGCCTCCCTTTCCCTTGTAGTGTCTTTGATAACTCAAACAGGATCTTGAGGGGCTACTATGAAGTTATTTGGTTTGATGCTGAGAGGATGGGATTTTAATCAGAAGGCTTTAGAATGCTGTTCTGTGAGCTCCATTGTCAAGACTCTGTGCTCAAGCCTGGGGCGCAGAGACACCACGGTGCAACATTAAGCCTGCCACTGCTCCAAAAGGCAGCCTAGAAACTGCTCAGAAGGAAAGCTTGATGAAAGGGCAGCTAAGTCCTGGCATGTGATGCCCTAGCTGCTATGTGGGCAGCCTTACTGCTCTCCGTACGGTCAGCCCTTCTGTGCAGATGCATTCAGAGAGCAGGGCAGCGCAGAGCACCACTGCATGGTGGGGAAGCCAGCAGATCCCCATTTCCCATTGCTCTTCCCAGTTCTCTGAAACATGCTGCAGCCGTTTCATGCCAAGCTGAATTTAAATAGAGAGAACATACTAAAAGCCAAGCACAACAATACTGAATGTACTACAGCTGGAAACTAACAAAGAGGCCCCTGTCCGTGTCCAAGTCCCACGGCAGCGTGCTTCGGAAAGGAATGGGGCACAGAAGCATTTCCGTAGGCTCTGAAGGCAAACTCAAACTTCTTCCTCTGAATACTGATTTCCTTCCTCAGTCCCAGAGCTTCTCCTCACAACCTACTTTCCTAAGAAAAGCTGTTTACTAATGCACAGACGTACGTCAATTGAGAGGAACAGTAGCAGCCAGTCAGCTTTCCCATGGCATTCTCAGAAGCCCTTCCTCTCAGTGACAGCAGAACTGCTGCTTCTGCTCCCGAGTGGAGCTAAAAAAAAGGAGCAAGCTATACCCTTCAGACTCCTGGCACAGAAAACTGGACACTGCTACTGAAGCCACTCCAGAGGTCCAGTCCTGCATGTAACCTATATATGTACTACAGTACACCAGAAGCAGGAGAGGCGTTTCTGAAACTCAGCCCAGTTTAAAGAGCAAAGTGCCCAAATGGGAAAGTTTCATATGTTCACCCTTGTTAGCCCTTCTCTTGAGCCTACAGACCTTCCAATAGAAGAAACAGGCTGCAACATCTCTTACCATCTGATAATAGGCCACAAGGGACAGGACTGATTCAAACTCATTCTTCTTGCACATTTTCTTGCAAACCTCAGGATCTGCATCTGTCTGGAAATACAAATGGGCAGGTCACACAGGTGGGACCCTGCAGGAGCAGGATGGACTGTCAAGAATCTGCAGCGAGCTGGGGTCAGACTGTCCTTCAGCAGTGTGAAAGGTTGTTCCCACTCAACCAGGCCTCACATTCCTGTGCTCTCAGGCCAAATACCTTATAAACAAATCAAGGGCAATGCCTGAAACCTGTATCTGAGAGCACAGCTGCATTAGAAATACAAAAAAAATAAAAAAATAAATCAAAGTTCTGGAGGTGTCTAAATGCCACTCCAATGCATCCGCCTCCAGGTCCTATAAACTAAAGAGCAGCTTCTTGAAACTACCGCTATGCAGTACCATGTTGTGCTATGGTCATGAGAAAATTTAATATATGCATATGTAATCCAGCTCCCACACAAAGTTAAGCTTGCGTGGACCACAACAGCTGCTTCCAATGAAAATGCAGCTCTCCACCTATGCCACATGTTGGGAGGACATTTCACATTTGCTAATTAAAAATTTTGAAATTCACCTTCAGGGCTTCTGTACCTTTGCAAACAGGATAGCTCTTACCTTGCAAAACTCTGTGGGCACACAGCAAGCTATAGTTAGAACATGGTTTCTAATGTCATTTGCCCTACATGAGCTGGTTGGACAGCTAAGCCAGCATAGTTTTCTGACAGATTTGGCTTCAGATGAGCTTTATGGAGTTTCACTCCCACCCTCTGCCTGGGCAGAGGATTTTGGGTGACTAAGATGGGTTACTGCTATGCTCACTGGCATGTAGGACAGCAGGGACTAAATGTTTTTCATGACAATTTTGCAAGGTGGATTTGAACACAATTACCCAGCAAGGTAGACTGTACAGAGGTGAGACTGCTCAGAAGCCAGCACCCTCCATCACAGACTACGTTATTGTGTATAAATGGAGTAATGACAGGACTACATACCTGGAATAATGGGTGCAAGATAGAAGCCAGCTGCTGAGCTGGGGGCGGAACGAGGAACAAGGAAAAGACACCAAGGAGTGGACAAGGGCCCCAGGCTCCACAGAACCAACATGCAGACACTCACCAGGATGCGAAGCAGCTCTTCCAGGTAGCAGCAGATGACATTTTCGTCTTCATAGAGAGCCCAGCTGCGCTGCTGAGCATCATCTTTATGCCTGGCCAGATCGGCAAAGATCACCTCAAGCCTCTGTTCATCATGGCAGATCTGTCCCGATGGCAGCCCAGAACTCAGATTCTGCAAGATGACAAAGTGCTAGCAAACAGAATCCCAGTATTTTGTGTTAGCGAGAAGTTTTATAGGTCTCAATACTGACAGATTATTTCACATAGCCAATATAACTGGTGGCAGTTGGGGCATCAGGTGAAGACCCCACCTTCTAATCAGGATAGTTTACACTTCAAAACATTTTCCAGTTCTCTCTTTTCCCCTTTCTTGTGAAGCTCATGGCATTGAGAAGTCAGTGAAACCTTCCTAGAAACCAGCTTTGCATCTGAAAGCCTCCCACACTTGGCTGGTTTGCCTTCACAGGGTGGGAGAGGCTCACTTAGTTCTCATTAAAGGTTTCTCTACAAAGATGTGGGCTGGATGCCAGAGCAGCTGATTTTCTCACCCTGACCAATGAGAAGCCTACACTCAGATCAACTCCAGCAAGCATCCTTCCAGCCAGGGGAATTTATACCTGGGGCTTGTTTGGATCAGATAATTATGATGTGGCACGTACATTCTTTCCTCATTTCTTAACAGGGAGTCAGAGCACTTGGAAAAACAGCACATTATTTGCACTGCAATAGAGGAATGCTGCTGAGTGAAGAGGTGAAGCTGTTCTCCACCAGAAGAAGCAGAAATTTGGGAACTGGCTCAAGATGAACTAACTTCTGCTTCCTTAGACCACTGCAATCTAGCAGATTCGCAATGTACAAGGAAAAAAACCCAAGCTGCCATATTGGTGGCACCAGAAAGGCACCAGTTTGCCAGACATGTCCACTTTCGAAACATGTGGAATAAGGAGAATAATTTCCTTTTCCTTAAGCAGTTCAATATGCTAAAAGCATCAGTTAGCCTCCTGGCACCCAGCTAAAGTATGTTGCTCCCAACACACAAAGCTAGTGCTTCAGCAAGCCCATTTTCCATCATAGAAGCATGTAGGTGAACAGGATATAGGTGAACAGGGTGGATCAAGAAGTTGATCTGAGTGGTAAGCCCAGCTGTTCTGGCATGGGCTGCATGACACATTTTCCCAAGAGAGAAGTATTTCAGAGTAAGAGTGCAACAATAAGAAGCTCTGAATGTGATCACACCAGTGCGGAGGTCCCATTTTCCCTCCAACTGCAAATGGACAGATTTTCATTTCATTCATCTGTCAGTTGTGTCAATTAATAACAGATGGCTACCTATTTGCATCACACTTTGACAACATAAATACCTTAAGTGTCAAGCTTTACGAATACAGGCAGGAATCAATTTCTCTCCAAATTGCTTCACCTCTGCCTTTCCTCAGATATTCAACCTAGATGACAATTCACAGTCATCAACCAGTCTTACTGAGCACAGATCTCTCTCTCTGATTATAAAGTCTGTATGCAATGGCAGCCACAGCCTGCATGGCACTACCTTCCTGTTGTTTTATGCAAAGCCTTTGAGCTAAAGAGCTGGCTCCCTCAAAAGGTAGTGAGCGAAGGCAAAATAAAGGCCCAAAAGCAAGACACGGTGGTCAGATGGTAATCAGTCATGTCCTGATAGTTTTAAGTACTACCTTGTTTCTGTAATGAAACAGAACCCGATTATCCTACCCTACAAACGAGCTAGTTTCTTCAAGGTATCAGGGGAGCAATGGGTCTTTAGGAGAAATTTCAACATGAAAATACCCTCAGAGCAATTCAAGTTACAATTCAGGATGAAAAGGGCAGCAATGGAGGCACTGGAATGCCTGGGAGAGAACAGGATGAACAGCATCCAAAGACTGACACCATTTGAGAGAGGAAACATGTTGGGACAAGACACCAAAAGAGGCCAGTTTTCTAGTAAGAGAACTATGCAGAGCCCAGAAGACAAGGAAGAGCAGCCTGAACCTGCTGAGAGATCCCAAGCTCAGAACAATAGTCATTGATGGACCAAATCAATGAAACAAAAGAACAAAAAGGGTTTTGTAATCCAATGCATGAGTAACAGACTGTGACCTCCTCCAGGTAACAGAAAAGGAGGACTGCTCATCTCATCACTACTTAGAAAATGCAAGGAAGAACATATTTAAAGGTAGGATCTTGGACTCTGGAAGGCTTCAGGTTCCTTTTTGCTGACATGGACCTTCAAACCATCAATCTTTCAAGCAGCAGCTTATGTCAGAAGCCAGAGTGGCACTAGTTTAAGTTAGAGAAGCAAGTCAGAATATGGAGTTTGGATTAGTACCTGCCCTAAGCAGGCTCAAAAGTCCCAGAGCAGGAAAGCAGTCCGTTTGTGTACCGAAACACTGCAACCCTACATTACAAAATGATTTCTAACTTATTAATTCCAGTGTTTTAAGATGTTTCATTAGAGAGACACTTGTTCATAATTTGCTTCATGGCATTTGAGGTGTGATCTAATTAGGACCTTTTTCACTACATAATTGAAGCACCAAATCAAAGTATTCTTCTTGTTGCTGTTAATTATATAATCTTCATCAGGCTGAGATAACGAAGGCGGATTTCACACAAAGCTCTGAAGGTTCTTGGAGAGGTATTTTGGGAAGCTACAGATGGACAAGGAGGCGGCTGGCTAGATTATCAGCAGGTTGGTGTTAGGCTTAGAGTGGTTTCCAGCAACGCAGGGCATGAACTGAATGGAATTAGTGATTTATCACAGGAGGCAGAGAGAAGAGACCTACTTGACCACATCTGATTTTTCCTTCTGCCCATTCAACACAATCTCCAGGGCTCCGGCTGGCATCTATTCAAGCATCCCAAGTAAAGTGGCTTTCTTCAGAGACTATTTTACACCCAAGGCCTGGTCACTGAGTTAAACGTATCCAGCATCCCCTTGGCAGGTAATCAGACTAGGCGGACCTGTCTTTACTTGTTTTAAATGCTTACTTTTAACTTCTCAACATTCAAATCTCAACTTTTACCATCCCTCATCTGTAGCCTTTCCAATTCCAACGTCCATTGAACTGCTAATGGGCTTGAAGGAGATCAATCTATTAGCATAGCTCTTCTGTCTAACCAGTACAACTGTATGTGTACGGTCTGAACAGGATCTCAGCACCAGTCTCAATTTCCACAGCCTCAGCCCTGGAGCCAGGTCTACGTCTGTTAGGCAGTTTGGCGGTTACCACTCCCCTACACCTATGCCTGCTGCAATGTTGCTTTGGGAAATCAGACCATTCCCAGAAGGTAGCTGTAAGCAAGTGGATAGTGCTAGATTTGTAATGAAGTTTGCCTCCCATGACTGTGTTGTCTTTCGCTAACAGCTGGTCCCCTCCAAACAGAGGCAGAACTATTAAACCCTGCAGGGCTTTTGTTGCTGCTAAAAAGAGAACAGGGTTATTTTTGGAAATGTCTCTCTCATCACCCCACCCCAACCCGCTCGCTACTAGATTGCCAGGTCTGAGGGGCAAACTTGGCTGCACTTCCACAACGCTGTTTTCTCCATCTCCTCCTGCTTTTGATGCCACCCCCACCACTGTGTCAACAGCACTGGAGAAGAATCGCTGTTGCTTTGATCACAAGCATCTTCCCAGTGTTCCCCTTCCAGATGAGCAAATATCAACAGCAGCTTGTAGCACAGACACAAAAGATCAATCCCCATATTTTACCCTTGGCTGCTGCAACAAATCTCACTACCTTGGACTACTACCTGCCCTAACAAGTCACTAATGAGGAGAAGGGCTAGTCTCCTCTACAGCTCTCCCCAAGAGACCAGCCCAGATTAACAGCATGGTAGAGGACAAACAGATTAAATTCACTGTACCAAACTCTCTGGCGTCACCCCACTGAGTACACTGGCTTCAAGTAAGAGCTCCCTGGCTAGGCTTATAGCAATTATGGCTGTCTTGGGAGCTGTAAACCTGTTAGAGAGCAGGGCTGGTTTGAGGAGAGGCAGGGTCCACCGCGTACAGATGTGCAAGGGTGTCACAGGAAGCAAGAAGTCACTTGGCTTTCAAGCCACATTAGCTATGCTTCAATAGCATCTTCCCAGACAGTGCCTTTCAGGTGTTCCAGCCATCTGCAGGCTAACAAACAAACAGTCACGCCACAGATTTATTCAGCAGCAAACCTCTCTGGGTGACTGCAGCCCAGGATTGAGAATGGCAGTGAGGAAGTGGCACACCTGGAGGGTCTGACACCAGCTCCCCCTAACAGGGTTGCTGCAATAGCAATTCATGAGCAAAAGGCCCCCAAGTCCTAATGCTGCTTTTCAAAACCTGTATTAAGGGAGGAGATGCAAGTGCAATGTGCTAGTTGTAAGCACTCACTCTGCTGAGCTCCCCATTCTCTGGGGGAACAAGCTGCCCTTACCAAGCTGAGAAAAGCCAAACTTGGAGCAGGGGACAATCCCCAACCAGACGTAAGCATCACTTGTTTTAGGCAAAACAGAATTGCAGGGCTGACTGCAATCCAAGACAAAAGGCAACCTGCTTAAAGAGGCAGCAGCATGGAGGAGGCAGGCGCAGGGAGATTTGTTTCAGCTGATGAGAGGGCAAGAGCTGTCACACCTACCCCTTGAATGGACAAGCAGGTGCAATCACAGCCTGCCGCCAGCATAAATTCGCCAAAAGGAATGCTGCTGGGACCCACATGCTGTCCTGCTCTAGCAACAGCCAGTTATTTCGGTTTTCCACTCTCCATGTCAAAAGCCTTGTTTCCCCATCTATCTTGGTCATCCACCCTGGACTCAACACACAAAGGCAGCCTGCTCTGTGTCTGCCCAGACAGGATTCCAACTCCTCTGGGGCTAGCAGAGAGCTCAGGGTTGCAGCAGAACGTGACCCAGCTGTCTAGCCTCAGAGCTCAGACACATCTTTGCTGGCCAAGGAAACTGTATGAGAACACCTTTGCCTAGGCAGTGCCCAAAAGTTCATAGTTTTAATGGAGGCAACTGTAAACAGGTGGAGAGACCTAAGTGGAGTTTGGTGGCACTGTAACTTGAAGGGTAGAAAAAAATACTGAATCATACACAGGACAGCCAGCAAATCTTCCTGCCTGACAGCCACCCTCATATCAAGCACCCTTCCAGCTGTGAGCCCTCCTTGGTGTTCTCCCTTTCTCTGTATGGCTCACTCCATAGAATCAGAGTGCGCATGTCTAATTTTGCTGAATTCTGTCATCAACCAGGAATCCCTAACCTGCTTTAGACATCTTCAACAGACTTGACACCCTCGTGTCTCATTCCTCTCTGGTTATGATAAGCTTTCAACCCATACCAAGTTCCTGTGCAAGCCAATTCAATTTACTTGTCAGGGAATTGTTACAGTAAACAGGTCTGCAAAAGCCCAAATTGTTATTTTTCTCCATTCCCTTTGTCCATTAAACCCTAATAGGTTATGCAGTAAGGACAGAAAAAGGAGGAGCCATTTCTTAGACCTAGTCAATCCTTTCTTTGAGGAAAGCAAACAGTTCCAGACTGACTCAGGTTTTCTCCTGGAGTCTGATGTTCCAGAGGGAAGTGAGGGGAGGGGGTAACAGGGCCTCCTGCTATTCTGGACATGCTGTCTTTCTTTTTCACTGTTTCCCTTTTAAGGATACACTGGGAAATTATGGATTATTAGTGATCTTAGCTCATGGTTTTGGAAATGTCTCCTGTTACACAAAGACTGGAGAGGGTCCAGAGGAGGGCCACCCGCATGATCCGGGGACAACAGGGCAGACCCTACAGTGAGAGACTGCGGGACCTGAACCTATTCAGCCTCCACAAGAGAAGGCTGAGAGGGGACCTGGTGACCGTCTATAGACTCACTAGGGGGGACCAGAAGGGTTTGGGGGAGACGCTGTTTCCCCTAGCGCCCGCTGGCATAACAAGGAGTAATGGGCACAAGTTGATGGAGAGGAGGTATAGATTGGACATCCGCAAGAACTACTTCACAGTTAGGGCGGCTAGGAGCTGGAACCAACTTCCAAGGGAAGTGGTGCTGGCCCCTACCCTGGGGGTCTTTAAGAAGAGGCTGGATGCCTACCTGGCTGGACTCATTTGAGTCCCGTTTCTCTTTTTGGGGTTTTTTTTTGTTGTTCTCCCGCCCTGGCGGGGGGTCGGGCTAGAAGATCTACTAGGTCCCTTCCGACCCTTAATCTATGAATCTATGACTGGTCAGAGGCATCCCGACAGATTTGGGGTGGCAGCATGTAGTGCTGTTAAAGCAATAAGAAGTCATTTCTACCCCACTCTCCAGTCATGTAAACTGGGTCTACAAGAGGCAAAGCAACTGAATGGAAAAATGCAAGCACTTCAACCTTCATAGGAGCACGGTGGGAATAAGCTGGAGGTAATGGATTCTAAAATTGATTTAGTAAACCAGTGATTTGACTTCAAATTAAAACCAGAAGGAGAGAAGAAAGGATACAACTAATTAGAGAATGTAACATGAAGCTTGAAACAGGCATGAGATTTACTATGGGTAGGCTGAAGCTTTAATCAAAGATGATGTCTCATTTCACTTAAAAGACAGAGTCCCTTGAAAATGCTCTCAAGAGCAAATATTAGCATTGGCCAGGTTGGAAAATAGACCCCAAAGTTATATGAAGTGTTTTTAAGGAATACCTTTTGCTTAAAACTGAAGACTCAGTCATGATCCAATACACCATATCAGATTGTTAAAATCCAACCTGTATCCCCCTTGGACATGCACATGCATACTGTTTAAATATAGAAGGATTTGTATGCTTATTCTTTACAAGGATAATCAAATGCAAGTTACAGTGCTTGAACTATAGCAGTGTAGCTAAAGCCATTCAAGCCCCCACTGGTCAAATTTGATCAGTATTAACATGATTTATACTAGGACTAATATTTCTGTGGAGGAAGATGAGTAGCTGTCTCTGTGCAAGGTCCATCTTCACTAGTATAAAATTACCCCCATGTCAGGAGTTGCACCTACATAACTATTTCAGTAAGGAAACACACCCTAACTGAAACCAGTTCTACTGGAATGAGTGCTGTGCTTAGACCAGCCTGAACATCCTTTCCAGATAAATACCGAGATCAGCCTCCATTAACAGCTAAATTGCTCCACTAACAGCTAAATTGCAGTGGTCTGCTTTTGTTCTTTATACAGTACAAAATGCATCACCAGGGCATAAACAGAGAGAGAGAGACAGAGACAGAGCGAGCTGTGAATTGCACATCCATGTTTTCCCCTCCTGCAATTCCAAACCTATAGCTCCCAGTTTTCCCAGACAGACAAGTGCTCAAGCAAGAGGGTGGATACCTTCAAGCTTACTAGCAGGAACTTGGTGTGCAGGCTTCACTCTTAAGCTTCAAGAATGTTATGAAAAAATAAGCATTTATAATAAGAAAACAAGGAAGGCCCTGGTTTTCCAAATATGTCAAAACACCAAGTTTCTAGATGTTTGTCCAAGGTGCGAGTAAGAGGAACTGGAAAAGGGCTTCTTATGTGAGACAAGCCCCAAACTGCCTGAATTTTAGTTAAAAATTTTTGCTGAATCCAGATCAGACACATTGTCTATTGTTACTGTGTGAGAAAGCAATTACCTGATGGGGCGAGGACCACAAAATGTGAGATTTCATGACTACTTACAGGATAATCTATTCAATGTAGATAATTAACTGGATTATGATTTGATCTAAATTTTGAATGCCAGCAGTTCTGCATATCTGAATGCCTCTGAACACTTCATTATAATCTTGCCATCAGCAATGGAACTCTAATCTTAGATGTTTATAAGAAACGTACTCCTCTGGGCTCTGTTTAGCAAGTGGAAGCTGAAATTTATTATCCCTCCTTCTGAAGTTGAGGGCACACTTATCTGTCTCAATGGCTGCAAAATTGCATTCTTTTATTTCTCTGCGCATGTAGAGGGAGGAGGGTTTGGCTTTTTATTTATTTTTTTACAGGTATAAATTTAAGAGGATGTTGTTGCTTGAGTGGCTTGGGAAAGCACCCTTCAGAGTTAAAAAGGAAGCTGAGGAACACATTAGGAAACAGGCCTACACATTAAGCTACAGAAAAGCTATATCTCTGGGTAAGCCACCTGAACGCTGGAGGAGAGATCAGTAGGAAAACCAGGGAAACAGTTGAAAAGGTACCAAGTTAGTGCACTGGGACAGGAACTGGCCACAGCACTTCCAAAACCTTCCTTGCCCTTGGTGTCTTTGCTTGCTTTGCTCTTTGTCTCCTTCCTCCTCAGGGCACATCCTTAGACTTGTCTCCATTACTGCTCTTTAGCTCATGGATAGTGGGAGAATTCAGCACTGCTGCTGTCCACCTGCATACACTGGAACAATTCCAAACACCCACAGACTGAGAGAAGGGTGAAGTGATCCAACGGGGAACACTGCACATGCATCAATCACCATGCTCTTCCTTCCCTGTAGTAGAGAAGGAAGGAAGAGCCTTCCCCTGCTTCACCGCCACCTCTGCCATGGCAGCCAGCCTTTGGCTGGGACAAGTGTAACCTCCCTAGGCTCCATCAAGAACATTGCCCAGAGTGCCACAGTCCTGCAGTATCTGCATCCACTGATATGTCTTACTGCTGGCACTGTCCTCTGGGTCTAGAAGCTCTT